CAAGGCCGGTGACGTCGCAACTCGACAACACTCGCTCATCCGGTTGCATCAGCAAGAAGAAGCCTAGCGCGTCGAACGTTAAATTTTTACAATCTTTGGGATTCGCGGTGCGCAACTTTTGAAATGATTGACATCTTGAATATTACCGGTGAGTCGATCTTTGACGATCGCATCAACCCGTTCGCCAATACAACGTTCGGGTACAACGATGAAATAAGAATACCCATACAGTAACAGGATTTGTACACGTTGCCGTGCGAAAGTTTTCTCTACATCGAAGGAAGATTGACGGTGAAAAAGAAAAACGATCAGACGCCTACGACGCTTGTAAATAATTGTGTGGCATTCATGTTTGATGAAATTCGATATGAACTCAACGGTATGGAGATTGACCGCAGCAGAAACGTAGGCATAACTAGCACGCTCAAGAATTACGTGTCGCTGACGTACGATAAAGCTTTGATTGCGCTCAACGCTGGATGGAACACTAGATCCGACACGGAGGAAGGACACTTTAATTTTTGCGTACCGCTCAGCATGCTGTTGGGCTTTTGCGAAGATTACAAACGCCTGATCGTCAACGCTCGCCACGAATTGATTTTGATACGAGCGCGCAACGACAACAATTGCTTGGTGGGAAATCCTGTGACGGAGTCTGAAATTGAATTATTTAAAGTACAGTGGCGGATGGCTCACGTTGCGTTAAACGAGATCAATAAATTATCAATGCTGCGAACATTGGAAAGCGGTCGTTATCTGAGCATGAGTTTTCGCTCGTGGGATCTGTACGAGTATCCTCTGCTACAGAATACGACGAAGCATTCATGGGCCGTCAAAACCGCAATACGTTATCTTTGCTCTGCAGACTGGTCGAAAAAATGTCATGTCACAAAATGGTAGCGTGTTCGACGATTGTAATTTGAGTAACGTGAAACTTTATTTAAATTCAACGTTTTATCTGTACGACGATTTAAATCTGAATTTTGGCAAAAAGAGATACGCCGTTCTGTTTGATATGTGCGCCCGTTTTCGTAGAGCGTATTATGGAAACGATTGCTTCGAAACGCTACTCAACGTGCTCTCATTTACCGAGGAAGGACCTTTTGTAGTCATTGATTGTTCGCGACAAAACGAATCCGTCAAGGGCGCCACTGTGGACGTGCGCATAGAATTCGACTGCAAGGAGAATGTACCTGCAAATACTACAGCCTATTGTCTCATCATACACGATCGCGTGGTTCAGTACAATCCGTTGACCAACGTTGTGCGTAAAATCACCTAAGTGTATTTATCGTTGGAAAGAAATTTATCGTCAAGGAAGTGGCGGTGTTGAGAAAAGGAGTTATTCTCTCTCATTATATTTTTACGTGTCCTATGCCATGGAGTTTTTTGACAAAATCAGAAAAGTATTGCGCTTTCTGGCTGAGTGCTTATCACCATGGATTGCAATGGGAAGACGGGACAACCCGTACACCATGGTGAAACGCCTGATTACAATGGCTGTAATTGGTGTGGAAGAGAATGATGACAATAAGGCTCTCGTATACGTTAAAAGACGTGAAAAACGCGAATGGCTGGCTGATGTATTCGATAGCAACAACTTGACCATTGAGACCTTGGATGCTGATTACAAAGATATAGATTCTTTACATAATCTAGATGTTACCAATACTATGCGATGTGGAAAACATAATAAGAATTGTGCGTTACAAAATGTATTTAAAATACAAAACTGGTGGTCACAACGCCAAAAAAAATGTATCAAGTTTAAAGAATAAAATATGAGATTTTTAAAAAAATACGTTTTAGACTTCTCTTTTCCTTTCCCTTCCTTTGTAATATATAAACGTAAGTATTAACGTATGTATAAACGTATGTATGAACGTATCTATGAACGTATTTATAATCGTATGTATGTATAAACGTATGTATAAACGTATGTATGTATTTATAAACGTATGTACGTATAAACGTATGTATAAACGTATGTACGTATAAACGTATGTAAAAAACGTATGTATAAACGTATGTATAAACGTATGTATGAACGTATGTATGAACGTATGTATGAACGTATGTATAAACGTATGTATAAACGTATGTATAAACGTATGTATGTATGAACGTACGTATAAACGTATGTAAAAACGTATATATAAACGTATGTACGTATAAACGTATGTAAAAAACGTATGTATGAACGTATGTATAAACGTATGTATAAACGTATGTATGAACGTATGTATCAACGTATTTATGTAAAAACGTATATATAAACGTATGTACGTATAAACGTATGTAAAAAACGTATGTATGAACGTATGTATAAACGTATGTATAAACGTATGTATGAACGTATGTATGAACGTATGTATAAACGTATGTATAAACGTATATATAAACGTATGTATGTATGAACGTACGTATAAACGTATGTAAAAACGTATGTATAAACGTATGTACGTATAAACGTACGTAAAAAACGTATGTATAAACGTATGTATAAACGTATGTATAAACGTATGTATGAACGTATGTATGAACGTATGTATGAACGTATGTATAAACGTATGTATAAACGTACGTACGTATAAACGTATGTATAAACGTATGTATGAACGTATGTATAAACGTATGTATGTATGTATGTATGTATAAACTCATGACAAAGAAAATACATAGAATGATATGATAAAACGTGTTGCGACATGTTTGAAATTCTTGGAAAGAGGGTGACGACCTTCCCCCTCTTCGATTTTAGAAGTATTGTATACGAATTATCGCAATTTATGAGGATGTGATCAGTCTTACGATACCCGCTTGTACGAACGGTTAAAAATGTACTTCGCCAAAGAGAGCAGCGCATCGAACGACGTGAAGAAGGAACATAACATGTAAGTATCAACGTTTTTTATATAATAAATAATGTTTTTTTATACAATAAATAACATTTTTTCAATATTATGTATATACACAGTATGGAGCGTCGCGCGGTGCGCTTACTGAGCAGACGTTAAGACCTGACGTGTATTGGCTATAAGTATTTGGAAATTGGAATCAACGTTGGTCCACCGAGTTACGTAGAGATCGCCCTGGGAGATCATCGCGGACACGAACTGTCGCTGTGTCTCGAAACGTGGAAGGGCCTCTACGAGCAGCGATGGAATATTTACAAAATGCTGCGAAACGAATACAAGGACAATTTTATAAGCGTTGGACCGCTAACCGTCAGAGTCTGCACGTTGCAGAACAATGCTACGCTCGTACGTCTCGATTCTTCATCCGTACGCATGATAATGCCCGAAACGACGCTACACCGTATGTTCGAGTTTGACGGGTGTATCGATCTAATGTTCGAACAATTAGTCCGACTCGTCGATATGGTCGATGTCAAATATACGCAATTCTCCAATATCGCGTTCCAGAACGCTATACGCGATAGTGATGCCTTCAATGTACATCAGCTCGTCGATTGTGAGCTATTAGCTTTAGTTTTTTTAAATACGTATGAAAAATCGGTGTAATTATAGATGAATAAAATAAAGTAAAATAAATTCGTTCGCATCACTATATATGTATATGTACTTTATTTTACTACCCATCCTTTGCCCTAGTAAAAGAAAAAGAAAAGAACACAGCGTATTGTGAAAACTAAGTCATAAAAAAGACAAAAAGAAAAAAGGTTGTCGTACTTCTATGGGAGGGTGGCGGCGGCCCACGGCGGCAGCGGCGGCGGCGGCCCGCAATGCATTTTTGGGGTCGTCGCGGGGTCG